CTTGAATTGTTCAATGATATGTTTTGAGAGTGCAAAGAATCACCTATTTATAGACTCCCTAGTGACTTTTCATAAAGGGTATAATCATATGTAATGATATCTTTTAATCCAAAGGGTATTATTGGTCATTTTATGAAAATGTATAACCATTTGAAATGGTGTCTTTTACTTTAAGAGATATTAATGATGACTTTATGAAAAGTTGTGACTATTTGTAATAGTGTCTTTTAACCAAAATGTGTTAATGTGACTTTATGAAAAGATGTAACTAATTGAATTGGTGTCTTTAACCAAAAGTCATATTCATTTCACACCTTTTTAATTACTTCCAAGAGTTATAAAGACTTTAACAACCTTTTCTATTGCTCCCAAAAGTCACAAAGACTTTAATAATTTCTCATTCACTACTTATTGTTTTTTTTTTCAAATAAATATATAATTATTTTCAACAATTTATAGCCAAAATTATTGGCTATGTCACATAAGTGACGCATTTGCCATGAGAAAATGGTGAGGCAAGCAAGGACAATTGTCCATCTAATCTCCAAGTTTTTTTTTCTTTTATTTTTTACACACCTGTCACCAATTTGTGGCCACTCTCCCTTTATTCTTATTTTGATATTTGTCCCCCATATACGTATGCCATATACATTCATACATACATACATGTATGTATGTATAAGAATTCTTATATATGTATTACATATGTCACATATATTATATAATTCAAATATTATGATATTTTAATTTTAACATGAAATATTATCTATATTATAGTCATTTGATTCATTTTTATGTAAGAAATTCATATTTGAGGTTTCATTTATGTATTTAAAATCTTAAATATAACCCTTAGTTATATAGCATCATAATTAATAACCCAATTAGCGTGTTAGTGACTAATTTTTATACGGATCATCACAGAATATCCTATCTAACTAATAAAAGCAATATTCTAAAACATTCACCAAATCATCTATAATTCAGAAATTTAAACTAAAAAAACATCTCTAGGCATTTATCTCCAAATCTATTGCATGATTCACCACCACATCCCCAATCAACTTGCTCATGTAGGTTATGTCCTCCTCAAAGTCAAAGTTAAAATCTGAAATTATATATATTTAATAAAGTAGGACGATTTTGAATTTTAGAGACAAAAAGTAGCCTAAATCGTTTCGTAACCAAAAAATTCATCATCCAATGGATGGTGTTATTCCAAACAGTCTCAAACTATTGATGTCTCAGATCGTTTTAATTCGACGTACCACATTAACTCTTTTGAAATATTTTTGCTACTCAATTTTTAGTTTCCAAAATTGATATTCTAAAATTTAATTAACCCAACCAATCGAATAATCAAATCTGGTAATTACAAGCTGCCCTAACTATGTNATATAGCCTCATACTCGGTTCCTCTTGGTGACATGAAAAGTGATACTTAGGCATATAAATTCATACCAATACTAACTGATCACACCCCACAAGGCTGTAATTATAATCGCACCTTGCGGGACCATAATCACATTTGACCAATTGTACCCCACGTATACTTTGTATATGTATCAATCAATTCTCAAACTATTTAGCCCAAAATATAGGTCAACTAATAAAATTAACAGAATTTCGTATCAATAAGAATAATCAATACAAATACAAATTTCAGATAATTAAATGACACTATTTATAAAAAGATTTAAAAGATAGGGACATATTATATACTTTGTATCTCAAATCACCAAGAAATTCCAATAAATTTAATCACCACCGTATTAAGAACAACATATTCCAATTTTATAAAAATTGAGACTAAAATCGCTAACCAATTCTTAACCCAAAGTCTTATTATTATTTTTCCTTCTCTCTCATTTCCTTCTTTTTCCCTGATTTCTTGCGATGCCTTTTGGCCTGCAAAACAAGGCTATTTATAGCCAAGGTTTGTGTCTTGCGTCACACGGGTGACGTTCTAATGTTGAGGCAATCCAAGTATTTTCCTTTTTATTTTTTTTTTCTTTAAACACTAATAACACTTGCCACTCTTTTAATCTTACTTTTCCTCTTAATGACACCTATATTCATATATATATAGTTGTATATTATTATAAAATTTAGACATAAACATTTAATATAAAATTTTATTTCAGCACAAAATATGACTTATATTATAGTCGTTCAACTTGTTTTTGTGAAAAAAAAATTATATTTGAGGTCTATTTGTTCATTTAAAATTTCTAAAAATAACTTTCAATTATATAGAATCATAATTAATGACATAATTATCATGTTACCAATTAATTTTTATACGGGTCATCACAATGTATTTATTCAAGAATTAAAGCATATATTCAAAAGGAATTTAAAAATATTGTAGATCTATCATACATATATAAAATATGAGTTAAGAACTATGTTTTTAAGTCAAGAATGAATAGATCTTGGAAGTAAATCATTTGTTTTGTTTAAGAAGTAAATCATGGATTCAAACGAACGTAAAAATATTGTAGATCTATTATTTATATCATAATAAGTTGAAAAAGTATATATTATACATTCCTAATCAACAATGAATGAATCTGGGAAAGAATGTCTACTTTGCTCCGTAGTTAAATTACTTTTAAAGCATTTTGTGTGATTGCTTACACATAGATGCCCTCAAGAGCAAGCCCAATTTAATCTTTTTCGTCATCTTCTTCTTTCCAAGACTCTCCTATACTTCTTGGGGTTGAAAAACATGTATAGAAATTCTAAAATAAGTCCCTAGGGTATTTATAATGTCAAAGTAGGAGAAAACACTTAAAATAGGTTGGGATGGACAAATTCTCTGCCTCATGTGTCTGAACGCATGTTTTGTCCCATCTGGACACGGGTGACATTTTGTTCCAAACTTCTAGTTTGATTTTGACTCAGGTAGAAGCCGATTCACAAAATTTTCATAAAATATATTTTTGTAGTCTTTGAAGTATATTTTCAAATGCCACAAGAATCAACTCAATCAGAGTTGGAGGTAAAAAGTTAAGAGTCAAATTACTAAGGTCGTATCCAATTCCTTTTTATCCGAATTTCTCTAAAATATGTTTTAACTTTAGAATACTTCAAATTTTTAATACACACCTCATCACCTCGCTTAAGGTTTTTTGACCTTTCAGATTTAATGGTATCCTTATTTTGAGCTAAATATATTTAAAAACTTATATAATTATCTTTCTCAATTTCGTACGAAAAGTTAGTACGTACATCAAACTTCATGATCAATTTTTCAATAGCGATTTGAAGTTTCTATCATTGTTTTAGAAGTACTCTTAATATCATATTATTTATCTTTAAATTTTATACGGAGTCTTACAAATTTGGATCAATCAAAACCGATCCGCTAACAAACCTCACTATAATTAATTTGTTATAATAATTTTATAAGCACATAAACAATTTTATACTATGATTTTTCTCAAGCAAAGAGCAAAAGAAAGTATTTTGATAGTGATTTGAAATTTTTAGACATTAAATAGTATTTGGAAAAAAGATAAAAATCGTAATTTTGTCTTTTTATTTTGTTAGTGTATTTGTCTTTTTATAAAGATAAAAAAGTATTTGGAAATTTATCACTATTTTGATAGTGATAGAAAGTATTTCTTTTTATTTTGTTTTTAGAAAATATGTAATTTTAGCATGAAACAAAGTCTAGNCCTCATCTTCTTCTTTCCAAGACTCTTCTATACTTCTTGGGGTTGAAAAACATGTATAGAAATTCTAAAATAAGTTCCTATGGTATTTATAATGTCAAAGTAGGAGAAAACACTTAAAATAGGTTGGGATGGACAAATTCTCTGCCTCATGTGTCTGAATGCATGTTTTGTCCCATCTGGACACGGGTGACATTTTGTTCCAGACTTCTAGTTTGATTTTGACTCAGGTAGAAGCCGATTCACAAAATTTTCATAAAATATATTTTTGTAGTCTTTGAAGTATATTTTCAAATGCCACAAGAATCAACTCAATCAGAGTTGGAGGTAAAAAGTTAAGAGTCAAATTACTAAGGTCGTATCCAATTCCTTTTTATCCGAATTTCTCTAAAATATGTTTTAACTTTAGAATACTTCAAATTTTTAATACACACCTCATCACCTCGCTTAAGGTTTTTTGACCTTTCAGATTTAATGGTATCCTTATTTTGAGCTAAATATATTTAAAAACTTATATAATTATCTTTCTCAATTTTCGTACGAAAAGTTAGTACGTACATCAAACTTCATGATCAATTTTTCAATAGCGATTTGAAGTTTCTATCATTGTTTTAGAAGTACTCTTAATATCATATTATTTATCTTTAAATTTTATACGGAGTCTTACAAATTTGGATCAATCAAAACCGATCCGCTAACAAACCTCACTATAATTAATTTGTTATAATAATTTTATAAGCACATAAACAATTTTATACTATGATTTTTCTCAAGCAAAGAGCAAAAGAAAGTATTTTGATAGTGATTTGAAATTTTTAGACATTAAATAGTATTTGGAAAAAAGATAAAAATCGTAATTTTGTCTTTTTATTTTGTTAGTGTATTTGTCTTTTTATAAAGATAAAAAAGTATTTGGAAATTTATCACTATTTTGATAGTGATAGAAAGTATTTCTTTTTATTTTGTTTTTAGAAAATATGTAATTTTAGCATGAAACAAAGTCTAGTGGGGCCTTTCGGGTCAATTACTGCGTAAGCAACTTTTCATTTTTACTAAAAATATATATAATATAATTTTGAATTGTCATTCTATAGTTACATTCCCTGCCATATCTTCTCTCTCAAGAAAATCTAGGGTTTCACTTTTCACAAACACCTCACCCACAGAGACCTCATGAAATCGGCACAAATACACATACACAGCTCAATTCATCCCTCTGCATGTCTCTCAACACTCGTTTTCTCATAGATCTACAGCTCGATTTACTCACAACACCATGAAGCGAGAGCTAGCTTTCGTGTTGGAGGCTCAGTCGCAGCTCACTGAGTCACTCGGTCGAACTCGAGCCTCAAAGCCTCCACCCAGCGACTTTGGTTCCAACGGTTATAGTGAGAATGGACCGGAATCAAACGGTTCAGTTCAGAATCGAGAACGTAGTGATGCCATTACTCAGTCCAATGGACTCACTGTTTACAGGAGGAATAAACGGTTAAAGAGTTCCAAGTCGGATGGCGCAGCAGTAATTTCGGCTGAATCGAGAGACGCATTTGTAAAAACTGTGAATTCGGAAGATTCGAAAGTGGCGTGTGAACACGAGGTAAAAGTGGAGGTTGAAGCTGAAACTGGGAAGTCGAAAGTGATCGAAGAGAGTGGCACAGTGGAAAATGATGGGGCGGTGGTAAAATCTTCGAGAAGGTTTACGCGATCGGCATTGAAACAAAAGATGACAAATGGTAAGTTGGAGTCGGAAACTTTTAATTTGGAAGTTGAAAATAGTAATTCTGAGTTCCAGAATGGTGATGTGGAAATGGTGAATGGTGATATGGGGGAATTGAAAGAGGTTACGGTGGGCTTGGAAGGTGAGGGTGGTTTGACTGTGTTCGGGATTCCAACGGAAAAGTTGGAAATGAAAATTTCAAAGAAGATTGAAGCTAGAGGGAGGCCAACGACGGTTAAGGAGCTTTTTGAGACTGGGTTGCTGGAGGGGTATCCCGTTTTCTACAATGGCGGCAAGAAGGTATGGTCTAATTGCCGATTTTACTATTTGAGAACATGCCAATCGACGTTTAGGACCATGGTGCTACTTTTGTGGTACATATAGGTACATTAACATTTTCAGTGCGTATATGGGTTTTTGGGTGTACTTGGAATTTTTATGGAATGTCGGATTTTTTGAAAGAGCCGATTTGCTCCATGTGATATGTATAAATGTATAAATATTTAGGTATAAGTAGCCTTGACATTGTAAATCATCGTGCATGGAAAAATGCGATCATGACTATATAACTGAATGCTAGTGGAGGAAATGATTACCATTGTCACAGCTGATGTAGAAAACATTATAGCAATGTATTATCTAAAAGTAAAAAGCGCACTGACTGGCATAAAAATATAAAAATTTATGGATGTGGCCCTCTATGACCATTGCTACAAATGACGGCCAATGGCATGGATGATGTTGGAAGAATTAGCAGCAGGGAATTTCACTGAAACCTAAAATTCAAGTTGTTGGATCGAAATAGGATATTCTCCATCCGCCCGCCAGCAGCAGAGGGGTTCGATTCCCGTTATACGCGATGTGGCAAAATTTCCAAGGCCTTTTAGTGATTTGACATGCCCCCTAAATAGATAGAATGAGTCGCCTTAACCTAGTCTTACGAAGAGTTTGAAATTGCTCGGTAGGATAGTGGCGTGAATGAATTGCATTAGTGCGATTTGGTAAGCTGAATTGCCCCGGGAATAAATCACCTCTTTGCCTATTTTAAAAAGAAAAGCAGACCCGCGCGAACTGCGTCTATAAATAATCATTTTTTTGTTATATTTGATATGTATATATTTCTTTATCAAGCTGGTGAATTGACGCTAGCATCACCACTATGGAGGTGAAATTTCCTTAATCATTTTTTTGTGAAACAAAGCCAAGTCTTTTTCGCCTTCCATCCTGCGTTTCGTTGCTTGAAACTGTTTTTGTTATTAGCCCAATTATGAACCACCTAGTTGAAGTCATGGTCTACCTAGCAGTGCTTCATATTCTCCTTATTATTTGTTTAAAATTGGACTAAAGGTATCAAACCAGGCATCTTTTTTCATTTGTTGTTTTTATTTTGGCTAACAAGCCTGTAGGTTGTACACTAGCCATACGTAGCTTGAACTGTGATAGCCACAATGCTTTAGCTATTGCTGATCTCCAAGATGCCTTTGGTTGAATGTTCACACCTTGTCCACCGTATGCACTTCTTACATTCACTCTTGGAAATTGAAACAGGAATTGTAACCTCCTGGTCCGCTATAGTCAACCTCATGGTTCTGGTAAGTCTGCCATCTCCACAGCTCTCTCTTTTTCGACCTGTGTCAACCTTCGAGTGTTGATCTTTGCTTGGTCAACTACTTGAACAAGTTTGCACGTAAGATATTCAGCATCTGATGTTCATACAACGGTATCCAGATCCCCTTTACGGGCTCTGTAGCAAGAATAATATATTATGTTAAAAAGAGTCTTTCACTTAAATTGTTTTGAATGGGTAAATCAATCATTTGTCCCTGAGGATCCGACATTAATCCTCTCATACACACTAATTGATGTATTTGAGATACATTTCCTCTAACTCCTTATTTTCGTATCAACTCAAGTTATGCTTATTGGACTTTATGTATTAATAAGCGGTAATGGGATCCCCAATAGCTACAGACACAAGATTTATATGAGAAAACATAAGTAAATGGGTCTCCGCTTCAGCTTCCAAAGAGAAAGGTACATGAACATCCATTTGATCCCTGTCAAAATATACATTGAATCCCTTACAAATTAATGGATATAAATAAATAGTGCGCCCTTCCACTAAAACGGGTTGGAATGCGGGATGCCTAATCTATGTAGAGTAGGTGTTCTATGCAGCAATATTGGATGTCATTGTATAACGTCTTGAAGTATTTCCCATACAAGCGATTCGTTTACCCGAATTTTACTTTTTAGAAATTCCTATATTCGAAGTAAGATGTTGTCTAATTAGACTACGAATGACAAATGTCTGGCAAAACTTTATTGTTATTTTCCGAGGTAATCCACATTGATGTAATGAAAGTTAAAGGCCCACAATAATGACATAACGCCCTGAATAATTAACCCGTTTGCCAAGCAGAGTCTCGCGAAATCTTTCCTCTTTGCCTTCAATTACATTTGAACACGACTTGTAAATTTGATTATGACCCTCTCTCATTGGTTGTCCATGGATTCCATTATCAAGAAGCGAATCTACGGCTTCTTGTATCAATTTCTTCTGACACATTACTAATTCTCATGGCGTTGATTTACTTGTTGTTAATAGATCGGTTAAGAGTATTGTTTCGATAGATAACTCTTCTATAGAGTTCATTAATATCTAAACTCATTAGTTTATTGAATAATCAGTCTCAGCTCGGGAGGAAGAATTGGTAATAGACACAAAACCATCCGTTTTGGTTCTATATTTGTTCGAATAAAATGCTTAGCTAATTCCATGCGTCCAACCAAAAAATCCTTTCTTCTTCCAACTTTTCGATCTTCCCATTCATTCTCTCTGGACCCTGCTTTCCCTATTTTTTTCCAGAAAACCTCTATATATGTGTATATGAATATGTGTAGTAGAAAGTGATACATTGGTTATTTATTAATCAGTTCAATTGTTTGCTTTGCTGGTCCCANCTCTTTGGACCCTGCTTTCCCTAATTTTTTCCAGAAAACCTCTCTATATATGTGTATATGAATATGTGTAGTAGAAAGTGATACATTGGTTATTTATTAATCAGTTCAATTGTTTGCTTTGCTGGTCCCATTTTGATGGTGGTTTTCTTGCATGCTGGATTATATGAAACCATTTGGTTTCCATTATACATTAAAAAGTCAGTGTCCATTGTCCACCTTAAGATTGTAAATTTTGTATTTTAATTGTAGGGAATTCCACTCAGGGGAACAATCAAAGACATTGGAATATTGTGTTCTTGCAGTATGTGCAAAGGATCCAGAGTGAGTATCGTTTCTTTTTTCTTCTTGGTCATTCCAAAGTGGTTTTGCTGCATTTTGTATGTGCAGTTCCATTTATTATGTGGTTGAGCTTAATATATTGATTGGTTTATTATAATCATCTTGGTAGGTTATTACGCCTGGTAATTTTGAGATCCATGCTTCTAAATCATACAGACGTGCGGCACAGTATATCTGCCTTGAGAATGGAAAAAGCCTTCTTGAGGTAGTGAAGGAATGTGGAAAATCTCCTGTAAAGGCATTGGAAGAAACAGTTCGGAGTTTCATTGGTCCACTGCCAGTAAGAGAATCCATCATTTGTCGGAATTGCAAGGGTGAGATTTATTCTCGTGAACTTGTGTCTGTTAACATGTTTGTTTGCAAGTATTTTGAAGCATAATTGTATTCAATGATTTCAAGGGCTGTTTTTGGGGACACATGTTGCAAAGGTGGAGCAACTTTGTGATTCATGTTTGATTTTAGTGAAATCAGAAGCCAGCCCAAATACAAAAGCTTTAAAAACTAGGTATGCTTGGTTTGCTTCAAAATTATTATTTCCTGGAATCACTTTTTCCTGGTCTCCTGGACTGAAACATAGTAGTTTCGGAGCCTATGAAACCTAACACGCAGTTCACAATAGACTATCATCTTTTGTCTTCTGTTATTCAGAGGTAGTTTCTGCATTGATAAATACTTTTATGCTTTCATGTGGGTTGCTTCAGGTCATCAAAGCCAATTTCTGGCTTCAATTCCTCTACAAGTGCCAAAGTGCATATCTCTTCCCCAAACGATAGTCAAGTGATGACAAGAAGAAAGTTGGTAGCTTTTGCTTTAGTTTCTCTTCCTGTTTTTTGAATTTCCTCCCCTTCATTTGCAAGCAGTATTAGGGGATATATAGCTAGGCCAGTCCATTCCCATGTTCTGATATCCACCCACCTGGGTCTTATAGGTCTAAGAAACCAGCTTGGGATTTAAAGTCCCCTGTGATTGCTCCAGTGCGTATCACCTCACAAGAGAGGAGTCAATTGAAGATCAAAAAAAGGTGGGTCTTTCTTTTTTTTTGGCTTCATATTCATTGTTATTAGTTGGTGATGAATAATTAAATTTTTAACTAGAAAATATGTCTTCCTCTTTGGACATAATACCATCTGGGTTATTTCAGGTCATCCAGACCTGTGTCTGCTCCCAAGTACAAGACAAGTGCTTCAATTCGCATTTCACCACCAAATAAGAGTCAGGGGAAGATATTAAAAAAGTTGGTACATTTTGTGGTGAATAAATTTTCAGGTACTTGCATCTTAATGTTTCTTTATTTAGATGTGTTTGTTTGGGTGACTCAGATTATCAAACACCGTTTTGACTCTGGGGTCCTCGAAAAGTGCTTCTTTGGGCATCTCTCCACAAACTAAGAGTAAATGGAAGATAACAACAAAGTTAGTAGACTTTACTTTGGAGTTCTCTTTGGTGTAACATATTTCTAGCTTAACTTGGCCAATTATTCTGATCTCCAGCAATAAAATAACTTCTTTTGGTATTGTGATGCTTTATCTAGAGATCTGCGGATGCATAAGTTGGTGTTTGAGGATGGTGGACTACCTGATGGAACTGCAGTAGCGTATTATTCTCGTGGAAAGGTGGTGGAGATAAATTTCATACTTGCTATTATCTGTTTTTTTAATGTTGTAATGTAATAATTTTTAATTGACAGAAATTGCTTGATGGCTATAAGAAAGGATCTGGAATATTTTGTTCTTGCTGCAATACTGAGGTTTTTCTCTTGCTTGCTTGAATTTTAGTTCTCTGAATGTTATTTCAGAATTGGGATGTGTTGATTCTCTTTCGTTTAATGAACAGGTCAGCCCATCACAATTCGAAGCTCATGCTGGTTGGGCCTCCCGCAGAAAACCGTGAGTCCTTTTTTCACCGTGCAAAGTTTGGCTGCTTATTGGCCAAAGAGGAGTTATTTCGTGGGTTGATATTTTCTTATATTCTTACATTTTCTGCTCTTTCTGCAGGTATGGATACATTTACACGTCTAATGGAGTCTCTCTTCATGAATTGGCAATATCTCTTTTAAAAGGTCGCAAGCATTCTTCCAAAGAAAGTGATGACCTATGCATCATTTGTGCGGATGGTGGGAAACTTGTGCTTTGTGATGGATGCCCAAGGGCCTTCCATAAAGGTGAGATTTAAAATCTTTTATAGATGGATATTTCTCTACAGAACAAATGGTGCTTACTTTGAAATTAGAAAAGGAAAAAGAAAGAAAAAGGAAAGAAGAAACTACAAGTGAGAAAAGAATAAGGAATGCTATTTAAAACTCGCACCTCAAGTGCTGGATTTCTGGAGTTTTATCTTTCCCTTTGGGCCATACCTAGGGATATATTATTGTAATTGCTCTGTGCATTTCAGACTTGTTAACTGATTTTGCATGTGAGGATAATTCGGTTGCTCTAAGATTTTGATACCCCTTGCAATCACCAAAGGAATAACAAAAGAGAGAGAATAAGTGATGGAAGCTGGAATGCCAGGTTTTCTATTCAGTAAGTGTGTCTCTTTCTTTGTCCCTTAAAAATATGCTTAATTAATGTGTAAGGAAANAATAAATTTTCAGGTACTTGCATCTTAATGTTTCTTTATTTAGATGTGTTTGTTTGGGTGACTCAGATTATCAAACACCGTTTTGACTCTGGGGTCCTCGAAAAGTGCTTCTTTGGGCATCTCTCCACAAACTAAGAGTAAATGGAAGATAACAACAAAGTTAGTAGACTTTACTTTGGAGTTCTCTTTGGTGTAACATATTTCTAGCTTAACTTGGCCAATTATTCTGATCTCCAGCAATAAAATAACTTCTTTTGGTATTGTGATGCTTTATCTAGAGATCTGCGGATGCATAAGTTGGTGTTTGAGGATGGTGGACTACCTGATGGAACTGCAGTAGCGTATTATTCTCGTGGAAAGGTGGTGGAGATAAATTTCATACTTGCTATTATCTGTTTTTTTAATGTTGTAATGTAATAATTTTTAATTGACAGAAATTGCTTGATGGCTATAAGAAAGGATCTGGAATATTTTGTTCTTGCTGCAATACTGAGGTTTTTCTCTTGCTTGCTTGAATTTTAGTTCTCTGAATGTTATTTCAGAATTGGGATGTGTTGATTCTCTTTCGTTTAATGAACAGGTCAGCCCATCACAATTCGAAGCTCATGCTGGTTGGGCCTCCCGCAGAAAACCGTGAGTCCTTTTTTCACCGTGCAAAGTTTGGCTGCTTATTGGCCAAAGAGGAGTTATTTCGTGGGTTGATATTTTCTTATATTCTTACATTTTCTGCTCTTTCTGCAGGTATGGATACATTTACACGTCTAATGGAGTCTCTCTTCATGAATTGGCAATATCTCTTTTAAAAGGTCGCAAGCATTCTTCCAAAGAAAGTGATGACCTATGCATCATTTGTGCGGATGGTGGGAAACTTGTGCTTTGTGATGGATGCCCAAGGGCCTTCCATAAAGGTGAGATTTAAAATCTTTTATAGATGGATATTTCTCTACAGAACAAATGGTGCTTACTTTGAAATTAGAAAAGGAAAAAGAAAGAAAAAGGAAAGAAGAAACTACAAGTGAGAAAAGAATAAGGAATGCTATTTAAAACTCGCACCTCAAGTGCTGGATTTCTGGAGTTTTATCTTTCCCTTTGGGCCATACCTAGGGATATATTATTGTAATTGCTCTGTGCATTTCAGACTTGTTAACTGATTTTGCATGTGAGGATAATTCGGTTGCTCTAAGATTTTGATACCCCTTGCAATCACCAAAGGAATAACAAAAGAGAGAGAATAAGTGATGGAAGCTGGAATGCCAGGTTTTCTATTCAGTAAGTGTGTCTCTTTCTTTGTCCCTTAAAAATATGCTTAATTAATGTGTAAGGAAAGGGGGGGGGGGGGGGGGGGGAGGATGAGGAGGAGGTCATGCATTAGGTTTTGAACACATATTACCGGGGATCGTTATCATAGCCATGCATCACATGAATCCTTACTATTGAACTAGTTCGAGATGCCTCTGGTACTGTATGGTTGTAGTGAGGCTGGTATTATATTTAAAGAAAAACATCTGAACAATCATTTAAAAAGTTTCGATGTGCCAAATTAATGGGAGTTCTTTGTTGGTATTGAAAGAAGGAAGGGTCAAGTAGAGGTGATGGATAGTTTGGATCTGATAAGTATTTACTGGATCAGAACTAGTTTTCATTTGTATTCTGAATACTCGGAAGGGTGCTTTGGGTCTGCTTTCCTATTTGTTATATGCTTTGCTTTCTTTTTTTGTCTCCGTGCTCCTATTTGATTGATTTTGGTGATCTTTGGACACCTCTTCTGTACTAGTTACCTGCCTAAATTGCTCACATACTGGTGGTCTGTCTCAGCTGATTGATGTGCGTTCAAATTGGCCTATGCAGAATGTGCGTCCTTATCCAGTATTCCTCGTGGTAAATGGTTCTGTAAATATTGCCAAAACATGTTCCAAAGGGAGAGATTTGTGGAACACAATGCCAATGCTGTAGCGGCTGGGAGGGTTTCAGGAGTTGATCCTATAGAGCAGATAACCAAGCGTTTGATTCGCATTGTCAAAAACCCAGAAGAAGCTGAAGTTATTGCCTGTGTGTTATGCAGGTAATGTTCACTCTATGTGCCTGATAGTATGATTAAAGAACTGGATTTGGCCATGATTTGTATTTTGTATTTTCTTATAAGCTATTGTGCACATGCACTTGCAAGGCTACCTTTGTCGGTTGGTAGAGTCCTTTACTTATAGCCCATAATTTTTTCTGCTTTCAGAGGTTATGATTTTAGTAAATCCGGATTTGGTCCACGTACAGTGATACTCTGTGATCAGGTATTTTTTTTCTTTATTTTTCATGTGTTGCAGTCCACTAATTGAGTTTCTGAGTAATTTTCATATGGTTCCATAGCTCTGAATCTTTTGTTGATTTATACCCTTGAAACTAGTTTTTACATTTTTCATTCATTTCATTCCCAGTGTGAGAAGGAATATCATGTTGGCTGCTTGAAGAAACATAAGATGGCAGACTTTAAGGTGTGTACGTATGCAGTTTTCCTAGTCTGCTCCTTGTTTAATTTTTCATGAAAAATTTCTTTCTGTTCAGTACTTCTGTTCTTGTGACTTTAGATCCGGATCAAAATTTGATACCTCTTTGCAACAGGAATTGCCAAAAGGGAAGTGGTTCTGTTGCATGGAATGCAGGAGGATCTATGTAGCATTGCAGAATTTGCTAATTTCTGGAGCAGAAAAGCTCCCAGACTATCTTTTGAATGTTATAAAGAAAAAGCACGAGGAAAAAGTTCTGGACAGTGTCCCTGAATCTGATGTGAGATGGAGAGTTCTCAGTGGCAAAATTGCTTCTCGTGAAACCAGATTGTTACTTTCAGAGGCTGTTGCTATCTTTCATGTAAGTATTGCCATACCGTAGCTTTCCATGTACTTAATTTATTCAATGAATAGAATGTCTTTGGTGATCAATTGCAGTCCATTTTCCAAGTGGTATGAGCAGACATTTGATGTTGTACTTGGTTTAATAATACCTAGATTAGGATAGTTTCCTCTGTCCCTCTCTATACACACACAGACAGATACATACATTATACATACATGTGTGTGTGTGTGGCCGTAGAATATGGATTGATTCATGGAAGCATGTAGTTGATTGATCAATTTTTTGTAGCTTCAATGACAGACAGGCCAGGCGAATATATCTATTTGGGGTTGTTTGACTTTAATTCTGAGGAAGGTGCAACATAGTGGTGTCAATGTACGAAATGCTTTTGTGTGTTTCTGTTCCCAATATCATAGCCCTCTTTGCTGCATTTTGTTTTCTTTCACCCAATTGAGACGATTTGCGGTATTGAGTTTGTCTCATTGCCAAATGTGTAAAGCTGACATTTTAAACCGTTCTAACATGCCTTTCAACTAAATTTCAAAAAATCGTCTTCAGTGATGCGTATCATGCCTTCTTGAAGGTTTAGCTTGTTACCTGTCCAGTATATTCCTAGGCTGAAGCTTGTTGCCAGAATCACCTCAGATATTTGCCCTAGTGAAGCCTATGGGATTCATTACCTTGTGTATGTCTCTTTAGCCTCCTCTTTAGTGGTCAGTTTACACTCTGTGGTCCACTGGATCAACAACTTTTTCTCACGTGGTCAACTACCCACCATGCAGCTGCCTCAGCTACTTGAGCATAGTAAGCCTATTCTTATTGATTTATTTTTTTATAGTCTTTTTGCTATCCAGGTGATGTAGTTCGTAGTAGGGAAGAATTAGGGATGAGAAGGGAAGGAGGGGATGAGAAAAGAGAGAGAATTTGAGAAGGAATCAAAATATTCAATACTAGTCGTTAATAATAATCAAAAGTCTAATCTCCCTAAAATCCTTACATGCATCCCTTTAATCATGAGAGTAGTTTGGATACTTTTAATATTTATCTTTTAAGTAAATTTTTTTAATTTTTGACGGTTTATTTGTCATTATTTATTTGTTTTAGGGATTTAGTTTCCCCATATAAAGAGATGCATGTAAGAATTTTAGGGAGATTAGATTTTTGATTATTATTAACGACTGGTATTGAATATTTTGTTTCCTTCTCAAATTCTCTCTTTTCTCATCCCCTGACAAATAAACCGTCAAAAGTTAAAACAAATTACTTAAAAGATAAATACTAAATATATCCAAACTACTTTCATGATTAATCTAAAATATCTATCCAATTCCTACACGATTCCCAGGCCTCTTCGAGCATTGAATTTTGGGTATATACATTCCTACATTCTCACATGCACCCGAAAATTACCTGCTTAAATCCATGGGGGTGGCCTTGAGGGGAGGCTTGCACTTAGGAACTCTAGCTATTGGCGTGTACTGGCTGAATTCCAAAAGTATCGCAGTCTTTCTTTAAGCTGGCTGTATTTTCCTTTGTTCCCTACTAATACCAAAATCAAAAGGAAAAAGAAAAACTATAGTCCTGGAATTAGTTTTATTTTCTTGATTCCTATTAGGTATGATTTGTGTTGGATTCTCGATTGGCCTACAGGACTTCTCCATTTTTTTTGTGTGCTTAAAAAAAAGTTCTTTTTTTTTTTGGAAGGTTTTAACAAATAGTTCAGTTATGTTAAGATGAGCTCTTTTCTTCTCTTGCAAAGAATCTTGTAGACACTGTTGTCGATTATGTGGTGTGTATATTTGTGATTTTAGCATCCATAAGGGTAAAAATTTCATTTTCTCGGTACTACCTCTTTAAGTCGATCCCAATTTGATATGATGCAAATCTCTCTTCCTCATTTTTTTCTCTCCTCTTGCCTTCTTCATTTTGAAGAGCTCTTTGGTTCTGTATGTAGAGTTGTTGAGATAAGGCCTGGCAACTGTATGAAGAAGCATCTTGTCCGGTTGAAAAATTGATTGTTAATTATATTTCGCTCATGCTTGTGTTTTAGGATTGCTTTGACCCTATAGTTGATTCAGTGACTGGACGTGATTTTATTCCATCTATGGTTTATGGGTAAGTGCTCGGTCTGTTGCCCACTAGTTGGAATTATTTTTTCCTTTTGCCCATGTATTTCCATCATCATCCTGGCTTCTCTAGAATTGAACTTTGCATTTCACTGTCTGTTTCAGAAGGAACATAAGGGGCCAAGACTTTGGAGGGATGTATTGTGCAATATTAACAGTAAAGTAAGAATCACTAATGTGTCTTATTGCAGTATGAAAAGCTTTCCTTGCATGCACATTCTTGTGATGAACACAAGCAGTTTTCTTTTCGTCATTATTTTTCCTATGAACACGGTTAGTTTTACTTGAACTTGTATCTAACAGGCTCTTTTTTAAAAAAATAATATTGCAGCACGTCTGTTGTATCAGCTGCAATCTTCCGAGTTTTCGGACAGGACATGGCAGAACTCCCTTTAGTTGCCACGTGTAATGGTAAACAAGGCAAGGTGAGGTTGATATGCTTTCTTCGCAAGTCACACCCCCACACATTCTGACCATTCTTAATGAGGAGCGAGATTGAACTTCTCATTTTATGGGGAATATGCATGCCCGAATTGTCAATTGAGCTTCTTTGTTGGTTGATTATAGATCACATACTCCATCCCGTAATGGCTGCTTGTGGATTACATTTTTGTTGGTAAAAAACTGAGCTTCTGAAATTTTGATAAGCATGACTTCGTGCAAGCCCCTGCTAAACAAAATTATCTTTTCTTTTGAATCTAGTATTCATCCACTTTGAATGTAACTGAAAAGCTATTTAAAAGATGGGAATGGATTTAACTGCCTTTCCCTTAAACTTGTGTTCGACAGTGAAGATGTTCACACTGAGATGGAGTAATATTGATGGAGGGGAGCCTGGGGGCGTACAGCTGTCATCTCGTTTTTTCTCAATCCAAGAATACTGTTTCAATACTGGCTTTGCACTTAACAATTTGTTTCGACATTGAGATGGGAGAGTGCAATTCACGTAGGATTGTTAGATTTTCTCCTGATTGATTGCATGATCAATATCTCCAAGTAGGATTAATAAGTAAAATGGGGATCCAAAACTATACTAAAGATTGGAGCTTTCTATGTCGTCTTTTTTGTTGGTGCAACCTGAACAATGCTTTATGGAACTACTTGTACAGGGCTATTTTCAGTTACTGTTCTCCTGCATCGAGAAATTGCTGGCATTTTTGAATGTAAGGACTGTCGTGCTACCAGCTGCTTATGAAGCAGAGTCTATATGGACAGATAAATTTAATTTCAGAAAAATATCTCCAGAACAGGTATGCATAAGTACGTGCATTATGTTGTCTCTTCTTGCTCATTTTCATCGGCTTTTAATAGTTAATACTCTATTTTCCCCTGGGTCACAGCTTAGCGACTACCGAAAAACCTGTTGGCAAATGATAACATTCAAAGGAACATCTATGTTAGAAAAAATGGTTCCCCAGTGTCGAATTACTCGTCAAGATGCCGCTGGTGTAGATGTTCCCGTGGTGTGAGCAAGCAAAGTAAATGATCTTTTTGGAGCGGCTTTAGCGTCAATTGTAGATTGAATGTGTATATTGTAGAGGTTTCATTGTTTTAATCTCAAGCGGTTGTCAACAATACTAGAAAAGACACATGTAGAGCATACTTAGTAAATTATTAGGAAAGTAGATTTACTTTTTTGCCTATTCATGGTAGGCAGTAATTTTTTGTATCTAAACAATTTACACCAAACTCTGGAAATATTCAGGCAACCAGACGCTCAAAAATGGCCAACAGCTCCAAATTTGTCTATTAGTTTCTCTGTTTTGTATCTCTTATTTGTATTTTTGTTTTTCTCCTGCAAAAAGAGGAAATGGCAGGAAATATTTGAACGAGTCATTTTCCTGATGGGTATGAGAATTACGGTTCTGTGTTTGATATCATCTTAGCTTTATTTCCTGATGGGTATGAGAATTGTGGTTCTGTGCTTAATATCATCTTAGCTTTTTAATAGATCTATTAAGGGACTTAGCTCTTATTTTTTTTTAATGTTTGCATTCCAGAAGTTGTCAGTGAAGCTGAAAAATTATGAGTNGCTTAATATCATCTTAGCTTTTTAATAGATCTATTAAGGGACTTAGCTCTTTTTTTTTAATGTTTGCATTCCAGAAGTTGTCAGTGAAGCTGAAAAATTATGAGTTTCTTCACATTGTTGTATAGTAAAGCAGAGAAAGGCGAGTCAGTCAAGATAAAAATTTTGATTCGTAATTTTAAATAGGAAAAATCACACTCTTCTTGAACTATGGTCCTTGCCTTACATTATTATACCCCTCCAAAATAATCCACTCTTTCAGATTGTATTTTAAACTACTACTTTGAGTTTCACATTACACAAATTATTTGCTTTAGTCCAATTTTTCAAGGTAAATTAGCACAATTATGGAATTACAAGAGATTGTCTCTTTTATCACAAATCTATTTTGTTCTAAGATAAAAATATACTGAACCTTATCAACGTTCTTTTGTTAATTTACAAAGAAGAGAAGCAAAGGAATATTATAGAGGAGCTTGTCACTGATAAGCTATAGAAAAGTTAGAATAAGGAGTTGAACTTTTTTTTTTTTATCAACGCAAACAAAGAGACTGTATCATTAAGTAGGAAAATTGAGGTTACAATCAGTCAAAAGTAAAACAGAACGCTCGGGGAGGGGGGGGGAGTCTAACCAATTTAACGGGAGTGAACTGTTTAACATTGTGGCTGCGATCTAGTGAGCTGCCTTAATGAAGGCTCGAGGTTCAGAGAAAGAACTTGAAACAGAAGTGAGAGATTTTGCACAGCCAAACACTAGTTCCCCATTATCCTTGCAGACCACAACTCCATAGACTTAATTTATGTACTTAATAAATTAAGACTTCAAGTTATCAAATAGACTTAATTTATCCTTGCACAGCCAAACACTAGTTCCCATTAATACTTTAAGTACTTAATAAATTAAGACAATTATACAAATGACTAGTGCATCTAGCGAAACAGTTTAGTTTAAATTTAGTCTTATTTGGTGTTTGATAATACTATACACTGAAAATTGAATATTGAATTTTTAAGTTGCAGACTGTTTGACATCAAATAAAATTTTAGTATTGAATTTAATCAAACCGTTAGACAAATATAAGGATTTAAAGTCTGAATACTATTATTATTCTAATTTTTCTTCTTTTTTTTTTAACTATATCTTCTCAACAGTCTTACTCTTATCACCACTATTACAATGGTGGTCGTAGTGGTGGTGGTGACGATAGTGATGAAGGTGGCAACACAATGGTAGTGGTGGTGGTGACGACATCACAATAATAGTGGTGGCAGCAACGATGGTGGTAGTGGTGGTGGTGACGATAGTAATGAAGGCGGCAACACAATGGTGGTGGTGGTGACGACATCACAATAATAGTGGTGGCAGCAACGATGGTGGTAATGGTGGAAACACTGTGGTGGTGGTGGCGACAACGACACAATAGTAATGGTGGTGGTGACAATGTTGGGTAGTGTCAATGGTAGTTGATGGGTTAAGCCCAAGTAGTCCAATTTATGTATTAAAGCCCAACCCCGGTTGAGGAGCCCAACCTCATCGTGAATCCACCAAGTCCAAGACAGATCAAGGCCGGCTAGACTTCTTGATTAGCACGTCACCAAGAGGAGAGCACGGGAAGTTTATCTGCACCGCCTTAAGGAGCCCAAAGCCGGCTAGACTTCTTGCTTAGCACGTCACTAAGAGGAGAGCACGGAAAGTTTATCTGCACCGCCAAAGGAAACAGCCCAAGGCCGGTTAGACTTCTTGCTTAACACGTCACCAAGAGGAAAGCACGGGAAGTTTATCCACACCACCGAAAGAAGAAAACGGTCAAATCATTGACCACGTTTCATGAAGAGCTCCCCAACCTCTCCCTTCCGTTGAGGATAAGTCGTGATCTCCACCAAAGATAATCTCTAAGCTGCGATAAAGAAGCCTTGAGGATATGTCATGATCTCCACAAGAATGATCTCTTATCTACTATAAAATGGCTCTAATCTGTGAGAGAAAAAAGAGACATGCTCCATCAGAGACTTACAGAAGACGAACCGACTACCGGAGATTACTATTTTCTTTGATTCTTCATTCTCCCTCTCAAAGCTTGTATCTCCATTCTCCATACCTTTGAATCAATAAAATACCCGGCGACTGAAGTCATTGAAGAGTGGACGTAGGTCGAATTGACCGAACCACTATAAATTGTGTCTTCTTTAATTTTTTCGTTGATTTTATTGCATTTATTATCTATACTTGATAGGTGGTGTGCAAAACCATTTTTATGCATCATCAGTAGTGGTAGTGATGGTGGTTATGGCACAATAGTGGCGACGGTGGTACAATGGTAGTGGTGGTGATTAGGGGTGTCAAACGTGTAAGGTTAAATGGGCGACGGGTCGAAAATATATAAACCCGTACATGACACGTTTAATAAACGGGTAAAAAATCTCAACACGAACACGACTCATTTAACTTGTTTAATTTTAAAAAAATTATATTAACAAATTTTAATATTCTATTTTTTTTTATTGCCAATTGCACTTACCTCAAAAAATGTATTTTTTAACCAAATCTTATAAAAATAAGACTTGAAGTGCGCCTCATCTCATCTCTTTTGTTTTTAAACTATTAATTTACTTTTTTTTTTTTATTAATTTCTTTACTTTTTTTTTTCTTGCTAATTTTTTAAAATAATTTTTAATTTATTATTATATTAATTTTATTTAAACGGGTAAACGTATGATAAACGGTTTGACAAGTCTCACTCAAACACGACCCGTTTATTAAACGTGTTTGACGTGTCAACCCGTTTATCACCCAAATCCGTTAAAATCTCACCCAAACCTGTTTAATTCATGTCGATTCGTATGAGTTAATTGTGTCGTGTCGAATTTTGATAGCCCTAGTGGCGATAATGATGCTAATGGTGGTGGCAACAATGATGATGATAGTGATGGCGGCAACGATGGTGATGGTGATGGTGACAGTGACACAATAGTGGTGGTGGTGATAGTGGCGGCGGTGGTGGTACAATGGTGGTGGTGGTAGTAGTGGAGATAATGGTGGTGGTAGTGGTAGTGACGATGATACAATAGTGGTGAAGATATTTTTGTCTATTATAAGAAATTGATAAAGTCATAATTGATAAACATTTTCAGCATTAAATGATAAATACGTGACTTAATACTTAAAATTTTAGTCTATTTTTAAGAAGTGTTTAAAATATTTTAGGTAGTATAAGTTTTAAGTTATCAAACGAGTTTAATTTAGTAAGTATTTAAAGTATTCAATTTTAAACCTTAAGTGGTGTTATCAAACACACCCTTAATAGTAGTGTCTTAATAGGTGCATCAGCTAATCTTATCCATAAATTGGTCAATTTTTATATGAATTAAACTATATACAAATATAAAGAGTAAGCTATACAAACAGTACAAAGTCTCGAATCCCACGCTGAGTGGGGAAACCCGACCCATTCCAGATCAAACGCTATTAACTCCAGGTTAGGACACGGGTCCAAAATCTTGGACATGAATCGTCTAGAGCTGACCCATTAGAGTTGCCCCATTTGACCGCATGATTTTGATCATGGGGTCCCTGATGGGGCATTGTCGATGGCTCACTCCAGCTTTGACCTACGTTCCCCTAAAGTCCCACAACAAACGGGACGATGGGGCCCATTTTGGGCCAAGCTCCACCAACTCCAGCGTATCTGAAATCCAGAGGATCCAGACCCAAAATCTTCACACTAGCGCAATCTTCACCCTTCAAATGCCATAATCCCATTTAGCCAATCCCACCGCCCACCCTGGTTTGAAAAAGTCCAGATCCCAACTAAACATTCTCTGCTTTCATCATAACCAAAATCTCACTATCCCTCTCTCCAAAAGTCTAGACAACACATCCGCTGCTTGAGCAAATATTAGGTGAAACGGGGAGATTACGTCATCATTGACACGTATCATTATTATCTAATAAATAATATTATTATCTAATAATAAACTTATAAATAAAAAAGATATATCACAATTGGGTGGTTATTAAATGTCATGACAGAGTAATTACTATAATATGTGAAATCTATCTACTTATTTGTTATATTTTTATGACATGACGGTGATACCATGTCCCTATCGACGACATAATATTACTGACCAATAATAAAACTCTAAATAGGCAAAGTGAATTCCACTTTGATAGTTATTGATTTACATAAAAAAAGAGTTGATAGTTATTGACTTGCATGAACAAATAGTTATTAATTTGTGTAAGTCCATTTTCTTATTTATTTACATACTATTAGTTGGTGATATCATATCATTAATAATGATGTGGTATCATCGTTGTAATGAATAATTTTTCCAGATGGTAGGCAGCTTAACTATAATTTTAAATATTTTTTCTTTCACTTGATAAAAGTAACACAACACATTTAAATTTATTACATACAAAACGATTCATTGTCGATATGCATAGCATATACAAAAAAAAAAATTAAAATAGACTAATTATAATTATTTACAATTGATTTCGATGAGTTTTTATATTTTAAAAACGTATGATAACTTCATTATCCGAAGAATATGTTTCTCTATTTAAATTCTTAAAATCACTTGTTTGACTATATAACTTAATCTTCACAATTTTCATATACTTAAAAAATATAAATTTGACATGTCAAAAACTTGTTTAGACGTATCCGTAAAGTATAAATTGTGTCCAAAAATTCATAGTTAATTAAATATTTGTCTATACTACTTGATAGAACAAGAAATTGTTAGATCGTGGTGATAATAATGTGATGTCACTATTACGGTATTACCCCAATATTTTTTCTACTCACATCATCGCCAAAATCTCTCTGTAGCTTAGCGTGTGCATCATCCAATCTCCATTGCTGCACATATCTGCACCCCTCTTTCAACACCACTTTAATTCTGTAATCATCTCCACATGGACAAAACACATCACAGACAAACCCACAAAGGCCCATGCTTTTCTTACCTCCTACGTCAATCATCACCCTTCCACCACCACCCCCACAAATAAAACACTGCCTTACGCCTCCCCATTACTAATCTCATCTCAAGACACCATAATAAACCAAGCACCATCACCACCACCATGAAGGCCAAAACCACTGCCATCTTTTGGTTCATCTCCTTAGTCATTGCCCTTCTTTCCATAATTCTTGCTCTCCATTGCAACCACTCTTCCACTTCTTCTACGATCGCCATCAACACTCAAACTAGATTTGAACTCGGTTTTCTCAAAAGGGTTTTCAAGCAAAGTGGGATTGAGGACTTCTTCTCTGTGTTAGAGCCTATATCCCGGAGAAGGTCAAGACACCATCACCACCGGAGGAGGCATAAGGCGACATGTGATGAGACCAAATGGAAGTCTAGGCTCAGGCCAGTGTATAGTGTTTCACTTGTCTTGACAGTTGATTTGAAGGGTTGCGCTAATTTCAGCAGTGTGCAGAAGGCCATAGATGCTGTGCCTGATCTTAGCCCAACCAGGACACTCATTATAATTGATTCAGGCACATACAGGTCATTAACTCATTCAACTAGTTCTGTTTAACAATTCGAACATCAGAAAGTCTACAGTATCAACAGTTACAGCTTATGACTCAATTGGATCAAGTTGTGATTCAAAAGGGTTAAGTTCTTAATGATGTTAATTAGGATCAGTCCCAAAAAACCCGGGATCCATCCCGACATTTTTGAACCCTTTTGAGTCGTAAACTTCGACCCGATGGAGTCGAGATTTCCCCTTCTAACATTGTTTCATTTTTTAATCCATTATGACCTATGGGCAAAGGTAATTCTTTTGACAACATTATAAAAGGAAGCTACATATCATGCTTGCAGGGAGAAAGTTGTGGTGAACATTAACAAGACAAACTTAATAATTCAAGGCCAGGGGTATCCCAACACAGCCATTGCTTGGAATGACACTGCTAATTCGACAGGAGGCACTGCCTACAGCTCTACGGTCGCCGTCTTTGCTCCCAACTTTATCGCTTACGATATTAGCTTTCAGGTACTGCTTTTGGAAATATATCAAACACTTTTGAATTGATATGTCTAGTGCAGTGATAGGTGTTTGATATTTTTGTTTTCTTCTCTGTGTGTGTGTCTCTCTCTATGTTTGAGAGAAGAATACAGCTCCGTCGCCTAACCCAGGTGAAGTTGGGGCACAGGCAGTGGCACTTAGAATTGTGGGTGATCAAGCTGCATTTTATAGGTGTGGATTATATGGAGCTCAAGACACACTGAATGATGATCGAGGAAGGCATTATTTTAAAGACTGTTTCATCCAAGGATCCATTGATTTCATTTTCGGAAATGGTAGATCACTCTATGAGGTAAATAGGCTCAAGTCCTCCTCAACTCTTGGAATTTTGATATGGCTTGTTTGGAAACAATGATGTTTAGAATATGCCTAGGGAAAATAATATTAATGCATTGCATATTAAGTTGGTAAAATTATATTTTGAATCCCATAACTACTTCTCACAGTGGTTATCAAATTTTTTTTTTCACCTTATACCTTTAACGTTGGTTATTGATTTTAGATTATCTCAATTACAAATATTCATTAGATGAAAATTTGTCACTTTATCCCTCAAACTATGTGATTTTGCTTTACTAACCCAAAATCTAATGATGCACAAACATTTTTTGTCCAAAAACACGACGAACATTTGATTTTAGAATAATTTGAAATCAATTCACATAATTGAAGGGGAGTAATTACGGAAACCCAATAGTAGAGAGGCCGAAGTAAGATCATCTTTATGGATACAAGACATAATTTAGCCTATATTATATATTACAGAATCATCTTATATGTTACTTTTAAAAGATTTCTGTAAATCAACTAAGTTGGCGTAATTCGTAATAATTGTACTTATTGAGTTGAAATTATTTAGTCAAATCTTCTTTTGCCACCTCCCTCTAAATATCAACAGTAATTAATTAGGTATAAATATCAACATATTAACAAACTTTGTTATGTGCACCGCAGGGCTGCACAATAAACTCCATAGCCAAAGAAGTTCCGGCGGGGGTCAGCGGAGCCATCACAGCTCAAGCGAGGAATTCGATGACCGAGATAACAGGTTTCTCCTTTGTGAATTGTAGCGTTGGTGGCAGTGGGAGAGTGTGGCTTGGACGAGCTTGGGGCTCCTATGCCACTGTGGTGTTTTCCAAAACTTACATGTCTGATTTGGTAGCTTCCGATGGCTGGAATGATTGGAGAGACCCCTCTAGAGACCCGTCTGTGGTTGATCCTAAATGTTAATATATATCTTCTTTCCTTTCACATATTCTTGATTCCTAAATATGCTCTAATGAACATGAATTAATTTCTACTAGGTTTTAATTGAGTCGTGCAATGTTTGAATCGTGTCACTCCTACTTTGGTAGTGATATTTTGGATTCGTACTGAACTTATGTCGTTTTTCGTTTGATTCGTAAACTCAAAAAGAGTAGGATAAGTATTTCTTTTTCCTCTAAACCTAATACAACTCAGATAGGTCCTTATAAACTAAAAATTTACTTGATCCACATTATAACATAATCAAATACAAGGTAAATATAACTTTTCAACAACTCATACATTAATATATCGAGAAATAAAAATAAAAGAAAATAGTTAAATATTTTCTCTTACAACACCAGTTAAATGGGTTTGTTGCATGAAGGTCAGATTATTTTTTGGATTATATCATATTAGCGTGTCATGTCGGAAATATTAACTTCTAACCTGAGTGTCTGTCTAGGCCTAAATCCAAACCTTTTCACACCAATTACTTTCTGTTTAATCACATAGTACAAGTTACATGGTTGAAATCTTTAGATACACATACCCAATTAAGTGGAATTATTTGAACTTGTACAAGTTTGTCAATTGTTTTTATTCTACTTCTGTGTGTCATTGTGCAGGACGGTTTACTTTGGAGAGTGCGAGTGCTTTGGACCGGGAGCAAATTACACATATAGGGTGTCATATGGAAAGCAACTAAGGCAATTTGAAGCAGCTCCTTACATGGATGTGTCATACATTGATGGATATGAATGGCTTCTTTCCCCTCAAAACAGTTCATCTGATCTTCATGTGTATCATAGGCACAATGAGTTCATTGAAATTTACTGACATTTTTCAACGAACTCATATAGTACTGTGAGATACTCAGAATATATGTGAGTTGATATTATATTAGCCTCACTCGTACGATTCACGAGATTTATAATATGCTGTCTTCCTTTCTATTTTTCTTGCCCATCCTTCCCTTCTCTGACTTCTCTTGCTAAAGAGATGTTATATAAGTAATTATTAAAAACCATACCATGACATGCAGAATTATATCTTATCCATTGATTGCTCCACTACTAAACCAACTACTGCATATTAACATTTTTTGCGACATGTAACCGTGGCTATTCAATGGTAGTCGTATTAACTAGGAAAATTTGGCGTTTGACCTACTAATCATTGCCCTGCAGTTGTTTGTGGATTCAAACCTCGTTAACTCACTGCCCCACGTAAATACCGTTTAAAAAAAGTATTGACTAGATGTCTTGGTACTTTTCTGGGCTAAGCTTTGATGGTGCTCTCTCTAATTTTAATGGAAACTCTGGTGTAGGAGTGGTAATTAGGAACTGAAGGGGCAGATTTATTGCTGGGTTATGCCTAATAATTGAGTGCTTGATGGCTAATGCAACCCCAAGACATGGAGGTAATGGCAGCCTCTCTAGCTATAAACCTTGCAGCACAAATTGGGTGTGCAAATGTGTTGCTGGAAGGCGATTCCAAGAATGTGATAATTCCTGTTCTGGATGGAAAGAAAATTTTCTCGGATACTAAGGCATTTTAGACCAGATATAGTACAGTGGTTCAGCTTGATCCAACGTAAGCATGCACATTGAGCAATACTATTAAAATCTTATTTACTGACCTAATTCACTACGATCTTTGAATTAACTGTAAGGTCTATCAAACATTGAAACTTGGTGTTAATCCAATGACTCTACTGAAGTCACATCATTATGTCAATAAATTAGATTAAATTTTTAGGTACAAATAGTATTAGCTATGCACATTATGTGGGTGAAGACTTGGTGCGAAGGCACTGTAAAATATTAACTGGTATTTTTTTATATTACTTATTTTTGTGCACAACTGGTCTCAATTTCATTTCCAATTCCGACAATCCCACTCCTACGATCGGTATCTTATTGTTATATATGTTCAGATTTTTTAGTTGATTTGTGAATTAAGGAAGAGTTTATGGTTGATAGAGTTATGGGAGAATATGTAGATTCGGTCGGCCCTACTAAGGATGTCAGTGGACTGAAGCGGGGGCGGAGAGTGTAGTTTTTATTCTCATACCCGTTTAAAAAAACTCCGTTCATTCCCTGTCCACCCCCGTTAACGGATATAGTTTTCATCCCTATCCCGTCCGCGGATAAATTCTAATCTCCGTCTCCATTCCCGTCCCCGCTTCTCCCGTACCTGCTTAAGCCCAAGCCTAAGTAGTATAATCTAAAATTCTAAATAAATCTAATGTTTTAAATAATTCAACAATATTCTAAATAATCTAACATAGTCTAACACAGCATAATGTAAATTGTAAAATGTAAAAGCCAAAATAATATAGTATTCTATTTAAAGTGTCATTGGACCACAAAAAGAGAAATGAAACTATTAAAGAGAAAGAAAGAAAAAGAAAATAAAATTGAATTAAGAAAACAATAGCACTATACTTGAAGTTTTCTAAAAGAATTTTTGTTATTACAATTCATATTACAATCATAAAGTGTCAAAAGAAGAAAAATTAAAATTTCGCTAATTCAATAATGCTACTCACGATGAAATGCAAAACTATCTTACTCTCTCTTATCTATTTTTAGAGCATGATCAATCCAAACTCCTAACTGTTTCAATCAGTAAGTACACATAAAAAAAAGAACAATTAGGGAAAAAAATTGATAAGATTACCACATAAAAATGTCACTTGTTAGTTTGATTATCATATTTTTAGATTGGTAGTTATAGTAAATATATTTAGTTAGGGCTTTGGAGTATATATATATATATATATATACGGGTTTATTCGGGTATTGCTGTATACGTCCATCGTCTAATACGTATAGTCCATCTCTGATCCAAATGAGACGAATTTGGACGAATACCCGTTTTTTCTCGGTCCACTGCCATTCCTAAGCCCGACTTGCCCTTAAACTACGTAGACACATAGCCTAAATTTTATTGAGACATCTGAAAAATAAACTAATTACATAGAGACCCCTTCTATTTTTTAAAATTTCANTTCTCTGCTTTCATCATAACCAAAATCTCACTATCCCTCTCTCCAAAAGTCTAGACTACACATCCGCTGCTTGAGCAAATATTAGGGGAAACGGGGAGATTACGTCATCATTGACACGTAGCATTATTATCTAATAAATAGTATTATTATCTAATAATAAACTTATAAATAAAAAAAATAAATTACAATTGGGTGGTTATTAAATGTCATGACAAAGTAATTACTATAATATGTGAAATCTATCTACTTATTTGTTATATTTTTATAATATGACGGTGATACCATGTCCCTATCGGCGACATAATATTACTAACCAATAATAAAACTCTAAATAGGCAAAGTGAATTCCACTTTGATAGTTATTGATTTACATAAAAAAAGAGTTGATAGTTATTGACTTGCATGAACAAATAGTTATTAATTTGTGTAAGTCCATTTTCTTATTTATTTACATACTATTAGTTGGTGATATCATATCATTAATAATGATGTGGTATAATCGTTGTAATGAATAATTTTTCCAGATGGTAGGCAGCTTAACTATAATTTTAAATATTTTTTCTTTCACTTGATAAAAGTAAAACAACACATTTAATTTTATTACATACAAAACGATTCATTGTCGATATGCATAGCATATACAAAAAAAAAATAATTAAAATAGACTAATTATAATTATTTACAATTGATTTCGAAGAATTTTTATATTTTAAAGACGTATGATAACTTCATTATCCGAAGAATATGTTTCTCTATTTAAATTCTTAAAATCACTTGTTTGACTATATAACTTAATCTTCACAATTTTCATATACTTAAAAAATATAAATTTGACATGTCAAAAACTTGTTTAGACGTATCCGTAAAGTATAAATTGTGTCCAAAAATTCATAGTTAATTAAATATTTGTCTATACTACTTGATAGAACAAAAAATTGTTAGATCGTGGTGATAATAATGTGATGTCACTATTACGGTATTACCCCAATATTTTTTCTACTCGCATCATCGCCAAAATCTCTCTGTAGCTTAGCGTGTGCATCATCCAATCTCCATTGCTGCACATATCTGCACCCCTCTTTCAACACCACTTTACTTCTGTAATCATCTCCACATGGACAAAACACATCACAGACAAACCCACAAAGGCCCATGCTTTTCTTACCTCCTACGTCAATCATCGCCCTTCTACCACCACCCCCACAAATAAAACACTGCCTTACGCCTCCCCATTACTAATCTCATCTCAAGACACCATAATAAACCAAGCACCATCACCACCACCATGAAGGCCAAAACCACTGCCATCTTTTGGTTCATCTCCTTAGTCATTGCCCTTCTTTCCATAATTCTTGCTCTCCATTGCAACCACTCTTCAACTTCTTCTACGATCGCCATCAACACTCAAACTAGATTTGAACTCGGTTTTCTCAAAAGGGTTTTCAAGCAAAGTGGGATTGAGGACTTCTTATCTGTGTTAGAGCCTATATCCCGGAGAAGGTCAAGACACCATCACCACCGGAGGAGGCATAAGGCGACATGTGATGAGACCAAATGGAAGTCTAGGCTCAGGCCAGTGTATAGTGTTTCACTTGTCTTGACAGTTGATTTGAAGGGTTGCGCTAATTTCAGCAGTGTGCAGAAGGCCATAGATGCTGTGCCTGATCTTAGCCCAACCAGGACACTCATTATAATTGATTCAGGCACATACAGGTCATTAACTCATTCAACTAGTTCTGTTTAACAATTCGAACATCAGAAAGTCTACAGTATCAACAGTTACAGCTTATGACTCAATTGGATCAAGTTGTGATTCAAAAGGGTTAAGTTCTTAATGATGTTAATTAGGATCAGTCCCAAAAAACCCGGGATCCATCCCGACATTTTTGAACCCTTTTGAGTCGTAAACTTCGACCCGATGGAGTCGAGATTTCCCCTTCTAACATTGTTTCATTTTTTAATCCATTATGACCTATGGGCAAAGGTAATTCTTTTGACAACATTATAAAAGGAAGCTACATATCATGCTTGCAGGGAGAAAGTTGTGGTGAACATTAACAAGACAAACTTAATAATTCAAGGCCAGGGGTATCCCAACACAGCCATTGCTTGGAATGACACTGCTAATTCGACAGGAGGCACTGCCTACAGCTCTACGGTCGCCGTCTTTGCTCCCAACTTTATCGCTTACGATATTAGCTTTCAGGTACTGCTTTTGGAAATATATCAAACACTTTTGAATTGATATGTCTAGTGCAGTGATAGGTGTTTGATATTTTTGTTTTCTTCTCTGTGTGTGTGTCTCTCTCTATGTTTGAGAGAAGANTATTTACTGACCTAATTCACTACGATCTTTGGATTAACTGTAAGGTCTATCAAACATTGAAACTTGGTGTTAATCCAATGACTCTACTGAAGTCACATCATTATGTCAATAAATTAGATTAAATTTTTAGGTACAAATAGTATTAGCTATGCACATTATGTGGGTGAAGACTTGGTGCGAAGGCACTGTAAAATATTAACTGGTATTTTTTTATATTACTTATTTTTGTGCACAACTGGTCTCAATTTCATTTCCAATTCCGACAATCCCACTCCTACGATCGGTATCTTATTGTTATATATGTTCAGATTTTTTAGTTGATTTGTGAATTAAGGAAGAGTTTATGGTTGATAGAGTTATGGGAGAATATGTAGATTCGGTCGGCCCTACTAAGGATGTCAGTGGACTGAAGCGGGGGTAGAGAGTGTAGTTTTCATTCTTGTACCCGTTTAAAAAAATTCCGTTCATTCCCGGTCCACCCCCGTTAACGGGTATAGTTTTCATCCCCATCCTGTCTGCGGATAAATTCTAATCTCCGTCTCCATCCCCGTCCCCGCTTCTCCCGTACCCGCTTCTCCCGTACCCGCTTAAGCCCAAGCC